GGAACATGTGATGTCTCAGTAGCAGCCATTTCCATTGTAAACTGCCAATCAATGAATAAATGTGTAAGAAAAGAGGACACAATAAAAGAAGTCTTCCCAGAAAGAATAACAACAGAGGCGTCACCAATTGTAAACAAATTATGTGATATTCTTCCCCTGAAAAAGATTCCTGTCTGATGTACCTTCAGTCAACTTAAGTCTTCAATTAGGCATCTTTATATCATAAAGAGAGAAATCTAACAAATATAATACAATAATTATAAGGCAAAGACGACATCGAAACTATATTCATTCTACATGGAGTCTTCAAGCGTAAATTGAATCCTTTGTACCTATGATTCCTGAACATTCTTCACGAATGTTCAAATTGAAAACTCAAGATCACCATTAGCTTTTAAGCAACAATACTCCACTCTCAATAAGCTAGGGTTTTCTATTATGATACTAGAATCCAAACAAGATTCAAACAAATTCGAAATAAAGCGTTTGCGGATCAGGAATTTAACAAAGGTAACAAATTCAAGGTAAGCTGAAGCCAGATTAGGAGTACCTGAAGAGAAGAGGGATCGTCAGATCGGAGTGGATCGAGAGAAAGAACGACTTTAGCCACCGGATGAGTATCCGAGGAAGAAGCATGACTCTGAAACGACCTCGCCACTACCGGCGGGCACTTCATAAGCCACACCGATCTGTCAGCTCTTCCCGTCTCCAAGTGACCGCCGTTGCTCCCGCTACTTCCTTGGTCGTCGTCCATCTTCGACTTCTCCTCGCTTTCTTTTTGCTAAGTTTCTACTTTTTATGACGGTATTGTTGCAAATACAGTATTCAAAAGGAGTAGAGACGGTGGTGTGGGAAAATCCGGACGGGATCCCCAAAGAAACGGAGGCACCGGATTTAGAATTAGGACACCCGCCAGAGAAAAAGCCCACGAGGTCTGAGTCCCATCCGATTTAGTTTTGATTTTTGTGACCAATGGACTGGATTGGGGTTGGTCCAGGCTTTTAGTCAGGTTCGGCCCAATTATTAGTGAAATTTTGTGGGTTCTATTTATTGAAAATATTATA